AAGGATTCCACACCCTTACCTACCTTTTTCTGCAAAAGCTTCTTAAAGATGTACACTAGCAAAACTAAAATGAAATTCAACAAAGAGGGGGAGCAGTGCGAGGACATTATTGGAGGACAGCCCTGAGGCAGCCCAGGAAACAGCCAGTGTCCATGACTGGCAGACTGTTCAGCAAGCATCATAGGAGCAAAATGCTGATTGACTTTGGTCCTAGGGGAAACCAGGCATCTGGAGTCAAATTGTGGCAGTTTGCTAAAAGATCCATATCGGAAAATCAAGCCTGAAGTATAAGAAAACAAAAATGTGACCTGACACAAAGCAGTGTTTGGAGTTGCCATTATGTTATAGCATTGGTTTAATGAAATAAAATTATTTCATTATAGATCCACAGTAACTAGTATCTACATAACTTAGTATTACACAAGCTCTCTATTTTCACTTACAGACTCAGCCTATGGATAAAGCACTGAAGTTTTATTATAACCCCAGAAAGGTACCTTGATAATGTAAAAATAAGAATATAGCAGACAGAGCTGGGGATGTACCTCAGAGGGGAGCCCATGTCTAAAATGTCTGAGGCCTAGGTTCTATCTCCTTATCTCCAGCACTGCCACACCATGTGTATATATCAGACAAACCACGGTTGAGGAAGTGAAGTAGGATAATAGTGAAGCAGGAAACTGGGGACCTCAGACAGAACACTCTTAACAGGAAGATAGGAGCAAAAAGCAGCTTTTAATGCTGCCAGTGGCTCAGTGAGTGACTCCTGTCAGTCTTGAGAGCCCTGAATAGAAGTTTGCGCTTCCTTATATATCTCTTTTTACATCTTCAAAGCTTAATTCTATTGCAGTTTCCCTGGGAATAGAGCAAGCAGGATTTACACAAAGCAGAGCATTGGAGAGGGGGAGTTCTGGCCAGACTTTCTGAATCCATTAAGCTCCTTTGGTGACAGATTACAGAAGCTGTCATGGCTACTCAGGTGCATTCTACAAAGAGCATAGTTATGCAGTTAACCCATAATTGCCTAATAACTCAGCTAACCCATAGTTGCCTAATAGCACAACCCATAGTGCTTTGGCAGAGCAGAGCAGCTCAGTATTGCAGCCAAGTGCCACAGCTCTGAGGCATAGCTGAGCTTTACAGCTCAGTGTGGTGACTCTGAAATAGAGCTCTTGGAATTTGAAGACTCAGTTGAAGAGGTGGAGAAAAAGCCTTTACTACATCATCAAGCCCCAGCAGGCACAGAGGAATCTGAGCGCTCTACCAGGAATGAGAGCCTCCTTATATAGGGATCTACAGGGTAGGTGAGCATGCTCACTGAAGCAAAGGGGCGGAGTTATAGAACATTCCTGAAGCAGGGGGTCAGAGTTACAGAACCTTCTTGTGAGGGGCAGAGCTTAACAGAACATTCCTGAAAGGTCACACAGTTCAAATAGACACAAGCCATTTTGATACATTGGGCAGGAGCCCAGCAACACAAACTCACATTTCCAAAACAAAACATTCTGTGGAAAAAAATGGAGGCAAGGCAAGGGCCTGTCTTTTGTATAACACTTCTCTATCAATAGTTGCCTAAAACCATATGGAGGGGTGGTCTCCTCTCTCAATTGAGTAGAAGAGAGGTGAGGGCAGTTAATGTACATACAGGACCAGGTGTCAGAAAAGTGAGACTACAGACATATTTAGAATTACAAAGGTTATCAATAAATAGCAAAAAAATAAATAGCAAATAATAAAATAACAATTATTTATAAAAATTGGGAGGCTAGAGGAAAGAGACAGACTATGTGATAAATTCCATATGTGTCATGGGGTGGGCAGTAATGAAAAATCAAGTCACAGGGTTTTTGTTTTGTTTTGTTTTGTTCCGTTTGGTGTTTCTCAGATAGAATTCTGATATATACTCCAGGCTGGCCTTGAACTCTGTGTAATTCAGGCTGGCCTTGAACTCACAATCCCTGTCTCAGCCTGGAAAGTGCTGGGAATATAGGCACGCACCACTATGCCCATCTTAGTCACAGTATTTGTGTGTGTGTGTGTGTGTGTGTGTGTGTGTGTGTGTGTATGTTACTGCATATTGAACCCAGGGCCTTTGCACTGAGCTACATATCCAGTCCTTTTTTTCTTTTGGTACCAGGGATTGAACTCAGGACCTTGTGCTTTCGAGGCAGGCGGCGGCACCACTGAGCTAAATCCCTGGTCCAGTCACAGTATTTTTAAAAATGTGTTTTACCAGGCAAGTGCCATGCCTGAACCTATATTCCCAGTGACTGGGGAGGCTGAGGCAGGAGGATTGCTTCAGCCCAGGAGTTCAAGACCTTACCTATAAATAAATAAGTAAATAAACATAAACAAAATAGACACAGGAAAAAAAAAGAGGCAGAAAAGATAAAAACCGGCTAACCTTAATTACGGAGCAGGACTAAAGTGGAGGAAGGTGGACTTCTTTGCTTTTGTTTTGAGATAGGGTCTGGTTATGTAGTTCAGACTGGCCTTGGACTCGAGGCAATCTTTCTGCCTCAGCCTCCCGAGTGCTGGGATTACAGGTGTGCACCAGCACGCCTGGCTTGTCTTTGAATGTACTCCCTTCTATTAGGTCTAAATAATCCCCCTCAAGTGTATTTGTTATTCTTCAAGCCAAAAGTAGGATTTTTGGAAAGGATCCGCCTGGCTGCGGAGGAGGGGGTTGAGGTAAAATGTGGGGTGTGTAGAAATTCATGTCTTGGGGAGCTGGAGGCTGCTTGCCTCCCAGGTCGGTTCTTGCGCCCGGGGGTGAACACCGGCCATCGCCGTGTGCCTAGTGCTGCAACGGCGATTCGCCACGAGGGATCCCTGCTCCGTCCGGAGCGCGGTCACCCGGCCTGTACGCAGTGGGCTGTGCGAGGTGCGGAGCCACCAGCCGTCCACTGGCCCGGACCTTGTGCTGCCGGGCCTCCTGGTGACCTCCCCCTTCCTTCAGTGGCCCCCAGTCCGAGGTCCCCACCATCCTTCGCTGCTCGCTAGACTCTTCTGGACGCTTTTAATAAGAGACGCGCTTGGGCCACCCAGGCTGGGTTACGGGCCTTCCGGCCCGCCTCAAAGTCAGGATGGGCCCCTCCGAGGCTCGGGGAGCTGGGCCGTGCGGGCTCCCCTGCCACAGACCCTGACCCCCTCTTCCCCGCAGTGTACCACTGGGCGGAGATGAGGGCCAAAATGCACATCATGGGCTTCAGCGCCGAAGCCGTGAAGCCGCTCAACGAGGCGGCGGCCGCCGAGCTGGGCGCCGAGCTGCTGGGCGAAGCCATCATCTTCATCACCGCCTGCAGCTGCCTGATGCTGGAGTACTGGCGCCAGCAGTCGCACCAGCGCCGAAAGAAGGAGCAGCGGCGCCTGTCGTGGGACGCGCTGCAGGACGAGGTGGGCCAGCTGGCGCTGGAGCTCGAGGCGCTGAAGGCGCAGATGCGTGCGGCCGCCCCGCGGGCCGCGCTGGAGGAGCTGCGCGCCGAGCTGCGGGAGGTGCGCGTCCGGCTCTGCGACACCGACCCGCCGCCCGCGCCCCCGGGGGAGTAGAGCCCGCCGCCTCTGCATGCCCCATCCCAGCCGGCCAGGGGGCCCCGCCTGGTCTCTGGGATGGGCATACTAGGCGGGCAGTAATGTGATCCAACCGGGCATCTCCCTAGCAATCTGCCCAGTGGCACCTTCCACCCAGCGCCTCCTCCCACGGGCGGAACCGGCCAACTGGGGCCCACCCCGCCCCCTCCCCAGCCACCCCCTTTGGCCCTGGGTGATTCCGGCCCGGGAGAAGCAGCGCCCTGCATGGGCTCCACCTGCCCGCCAGGGGGAGTCAGAGGACAAAGCCAAACTGGGTTCTGCACTTGATTGAGGGCACCTCTCATTCCGTCACTCCTACCCCCACCTACCCCAGGCGGGGAGCCTCCGGACATACGGAACACTGTGCCTTCTTCATTGGGATGGACCATGGCGAGAAAATGCAGAAAGTTCCAAAGGACTTTCTGACCCCATCGCCTGTCACCTACCTCACTTTTGAGGGGAAAGAGGAAGGGGAGATCTTGCACTGGGTTAGCTCCTCTGAGCCACCCTGTGGCTCCTGCCTGTGACCTGCCATGGTGTCTCGGCCACCATCCTCCTCTCCCTGAGCGGATGGGTCCATCGAGCCCCCCCAACCCCCCCAGTCTCGGGCACAACCCACACTGGCTGGCCCGGTTCCTGTCGTCAGTTCCAGCAGAATGTGCCCTGGGGTAGAAGCTGGTCCTGACCAGAGCTAAGTGGCCTGGCTGTCTCAGTCCCGTTTATCCTAGGGGCCCCCACCCTCTCCAGTAGGCTAATAAGGACCCATATGTTCCCCTAGTACATGGGTCACCTTCCCATTCCCCACGCCCCATCCCAACTGCTCCTGAGTGCAGAGATCTCCCTCCCTCCCTGCCCTAGGTGGGGGGCCCACCCACCCCTGTTCTTGCCAAGGCCTCTTCAGAAGGGACTGCATACCCTCGCCCTGTCCCCAGGCCAACCCACTGGGCCAGTGCATGGGCTTGTGAGCCCTGTGACTTTTGAATTCTTTAGACCGTTAAATGTTTATATAATTAAAGGTGTTCTAAGGTAAAGAGCCTACTGTAAGAATGTGTCTTGAGAAGTTGTGTGTGTCTGCAGTGGGGACAGGTGTCATTAAATTAGGAGAGAAGCTGGGGGTGTTCTGGCGGAGAAGGGGCCAGAGTCATCCTATGAGCCCTTTCCCACATGGGTAAACTGAGGCACCATAGGACTTTCAGAGGGCCATAGTCAATGGGGATTTGGCCCTGGCCTCAGGGTGGTGAAGTGGTGGGAAGGGATGGGGGGGGCAAAAATAGTCTGGGTAGCAGGGGTGGGAGGGCAGTGGAGAGGCACAGGGTGGTCAGACCACGAAGCAGGGCCAAGGGCAGGCAGACTCCCCACGCAGGGAACTAAGTCTTCCCAGCAGCGCACCCCATCCTGTGGACCAGCCCAAGTCACTCCAGAGATCTTCGCAGATTTATAAAACAGGAGGTTTATTAGGCAAGGGCCCATTTTCAACCTAAAGGTGAAGAGAGAGGAGTTTTCCTCCTCCTCCTCTCCTTTCCCCCTGAATGACTCTCCCCAGGGGATAAAAATGCCTGGAGCCTAAAACCTACCCAAATAAAAAAATGAAAAAAATGAAGTTCCAAAAAGTTACAGCATCTTAATTTCTCATAGAAAAGGGGAAGGGGCCAGAGGGAGGGGAATCAACCCCACCTGATGGGATACCCCCTCTTAAATAGCTGCCCCAAACGGGGCAAGCCTGGAGCTATTGCATTTAAAAACTCCCACACCCCATTTTATCAAAACCAAAGAGAAAAAAATTTTTCCTTCCCCCCAAAACCCAAATATATATATATTTTTCTTTAAAAAAAACAAAAACCAAAAAATCGAAGGCATAAGTGTCAAAGTGAATCTAGAACAAGGGAATGTGAAATTCCCTCCCTCCTTCTCCCTTACTGTGGGGTTAATTGGTACATCCCCAGCAGAGGGACCAGCCCCAAGGGGATGGCAGAGGGAAAGGACCAAAGGGAGCGAAGGGTGGGGGCCTCCCCAGCCAATCAGCAGCCAGTATAGATGTGAGCCCGTTGCCAGGGAAGCCACACCCCCCTGGAATTTTCCAAGAGGGATGGGGGGGGGGGAATGCATTCCTGTGTAGTCTTCAGCCAATTCTATGTCAAGTTGAGGCAGGGAAGCAGGATAACAGGCAGGGTGTGCAGAAAGGAGAAACGGGTCTTCTGGGTCCCTGGTCAGGGGGAACCCCGCTTCCTCAGCTCCTGGACAAAGGCTGGAAGGAAACAAGAGGCAGAGGTCAGGGCCCATTTCTTTTCTTTTTCCAAGAGACACAATGGCTCCAAGATAAGTTAAAAAAACAAAACAAAACACCTCACCTTCAATTATCTCCTCTTTGACTTTCTGCAGTTCCTTCCTCACTTCTTCCAGAAGCTCCTGAAAATAACCAGTCAAGAAGAGACCTGGACTTGCTGAAACAAACTTCCCTTTTCTTATCTTATTGCTGAGCTAGGGGTGGAACCCAGGGCCTCTCCTGTGCTAGGCAAGTACTCTATTGTTGGGCCACATCTGCAGCCCCCTAACTTTATTATTATTATTAGCCTCAGCCTCCTAAGTGCTAGGATGACAGGCATGTACCACCACACCCAGCCCCACTTTATTACTGACTGAAGAGCCAAGGAAGCAGGTTCAAGACCCACCCTGGCCCCACATCCTGACATGGCTGCCAAGGTCACAGAATGATGGGAGTATTCATTCTATAGGAGAATTCTAGATCTTTGGAGCCAGAAGAAAAGTACTGGAGAACATCCAGTACAGCTAGGCAAATACATTCCAATGTCCTGCCAACTCTGATGGTTGATGGATGGCTGGAGTCACTGGGCTGAGGATTCTGGGTACCCAGTAGAAATGAGTATGCTGATAGCTCCTCCGGTCTGCCACGGGCATTGGAAATGGGGGTGTGTTCTGTGTCATCCCTGACTGGATATGACCTGACCCCTCCATTTCTCTTTCTGGAAAACTAGGTTTTCCAAGGCCTTCTCTAGAACCACAGGGCAAACTGGTGGGAGGCTCCTGACCCAGGCCCCCTCTCTCCTGTGGCCCTTTCCAGCTCCCACCCCCACCCCTGCCTTCCCCAAAAGCTACCTGCTTCACGCTATCCAGGTCTGACTCATTGGCAGAGCTGGGTGTGGAGGAGTGAGGCTCAGAAGCAGCCACTGAAGACAATGACTTTATCCTGTAAGGGTTGATGTGGTTTGGAACACAAATGAAGTTAGAAGGAGTATTTGCCTTGCTTGTCTTACATTCTAGGGGTAACATTTTGTTCCTCCTTGTAAATTGGGGGGGTGGAGCCCCAACATTGATGGCTCACCTTGGCAAGGTTGTGCTGTTCTTCTCCCAGGGTCTCCGTACAGGTTCTGGAGACAGGAGACAAATTGGAAACATGAGGGACAAAAATTGCCCCAAATCAAATCTTTTCCTCCAGCCTCAACAGCCCCTGTTCAAAGAACCATTTCAGGAGACTACACTCCCCAGCACTATCTTCACAGTCTCTCCTTGAGTGTGCTCTGTAAGTGCAAACAGGGCATCCTGGGATTTGTAGTTTCTGTGGGCTCTTACTCACCACTCTGGGCTGGGACTCTGGCCTCTGGCTCCTCCTGCTGGTGTGAAATAAAACTGTCACAGGCCAGCCCTGCTGCACCTCTGCTCACTTCCTCTTCAGGATAAAAACCAGCGTAGCCCTGCATACTTGTTCGCCAATAACCTTTCCCTGATGGCATAGCCTAAGGTGTACAGGGCAGGAACAGCCCCTAACTTACACTGGCAGATTCATCCTTGGGGGGTTTCTCTCCAACTTGCGAAGCTTTCCTTCTGCAGGGGGAAAGCAAGGACAGATGTGCCCAGCCCCCTCAGCCACTCAACAGTTCCTTTCCCACTGGTCTAGAAATACAATTTCTTGCTAAATCCCCGGCTGGTCTAGAAATATACATGCCAGGGTGCAAGAGTCCATGAAGGCTAAAGAAAGTCTAGTTTCAGAAATTAATCGGTCTTCCAGAATGAAGGTAGGGAGTCTATCATTCTCACATTTGGGAATCATGAAGTTCTAAGGCTGGCAGGGCTCTGTGTTAGCATCCGGGGGATTCTGAGATTTGGAGTTCCCAGGGTGCTGAGGCAGGACAGGTCACCTGAGGTTCTAGAATTCAGGGTGCTAGAACATTCTACAGGCTGCCAACTATCTCTGGAGACTGCAGCCTCCATCATCTTACACCAAACCTGCCTCTCAAGGAGGAACTTTCACCCAAAGAAACAGAACAGGAATCAGGACCCTCTCCTAAGGGGGCCCAGCAAAACTGTAAACTCCAGGTGCAGGGGCAGAGGCTCAGGCTCACCTCCGGGCCAGCATGGCGTTCATCTCCTCCATGAGCCCACCTGTGCTTCGACTGCTCTCAGCTTTGGGGACCATGGGCCCCCCTGAGGCCTCCTCTTGCTGGAGAAATTGAAAAGGGAGAGAGGGCTTGACCAGTGGGCCTCCTGACCTCCTAGCCCTCCGGTGACATCTCCAGGAGACTCTGGCCTTCACCCATTGTCACATCAGGGCTCCATTCACCTGCCACTCCCAGCCCCTCACCTTGCTGACTTTCCTGAGTTTGGCTCCAGCGATTGCTGCGGCCAGGCCGGGGGCCCCAGCACCCCCACCACTGGGGCCCTGTGCTGCAGGGAGAGGGGGTGCAGGGGGTGGGCCTCCCCCTGCTCCATGTCCAGCTGGGACCCCTGAAGGGGGTAGGCCTGGAGGTGGGGGGGGGCCTGGAGGAGGGGGAGGTCCCGGAGGCGGGGGTGGCACCCCAGCTGGGGCAGCAGGAGGGCCTCCTGAAACAAATGCAGAAGAGGGGGTGCTGAGAGAGAAGCCTCATTCTTCATTGCCCAGCGGCCCACCCCTTCCTGGAGGGAGGTCCCCAGCTACGGGGCCACTGGGGGAGTTACCTGCATTGGAGACTCGGCGCTCACGCTCCGTGTGCTCTGGCTGGCCCAGCTGCTGCCTGTGGGGGGTGACAGTGGCCTCAGTCAGCCTCCATCGTGGCCAGCGGCCTCTGGCTCCTGATCCCCCCTTGGCCTTCCTTCCCCAGGTACCCAGGTGAGGAGGTACAGGGGACAAGGCAGGCGGGGACAGCGAGCGACCAGGAAACAAACACCCATCCAAGAACAAACACCCATGTCAAGAACCTCTGGATGAATGGCTTTCAACCAGATTCCAGTGCCTGGGAATCTGAGGGACCAGGATTTGGGGGCCTGCAGATTCTACAATCTGGGTGTGAGGAGTTTCTTGAACTCCAGGAAGTAGAGGGGTCTGAGAACTCTAGTACTCTCTGAGAGCTGGGAGCTAGAACATTCTAGAAACTGGAAGCTGGAGGGACTGTGAACGCTAAGAGTCAGAGGCTTGAGAATACGCGGGGCCCTGACAGGAGTAAGGTCCCCACGCATGCATCAGCCCCACCTCCCTACCTTTTCTGTTGCTCCAGCTCCTCTGGAGAGGGACCATTTTGGGCTGACCAGGTAGAGGGCGTGGGAGGCCCAGGAGGCACCCCTCCTGGACGGGGAGAGGAGAGAGGGTGGTGAGTCAAACTTGCCCTCGGCGCTTTTCCCTAAGGCCACCCAAATCCTGCTCACTTCCTTTTTGCTCTAACCCTCAACCCGGGATGAAGCTGTGGCCCTCGGGGCAGGCACTGGCCCCAAGCTGTGCAGGTTGGGATTGGAAGGAAGAAGCTGGGATTCAGGCTGACCCTTCAGGCAGGCCATGTGGACTCAGCCTGAGGACCCAGAAAGGCCAAAGGCCTCTTCCTGTCCTGCCCCAGGCCTCTGGCCTACTCAAGCCTTCTGTGGCCTCTGGGATAGCAGGACCCTTCCCCCAACACATGAGCCACTGGGGAATTTTCTTCAGCAACTGTTCCAGTCCCTGAATGCCCACCAGTCACCCAAAGGCCTGCCTAGGGACCACAGCCTTTGCATCAGCAGAGGGCCTGCTAGACATTCACTCTTGTAGGGTGTGGGGTGCACACCTATAATCCCAGCACTTGGGAGGCTAAGGAAGGAGGATCACTGAGTACAAGGCTAACCTGGGTTACATACGTGAGAACTTGTCTCAAGCCAGCATGATGGTCACCAGGAGAAAGGGACAGGGAACCTTCTGGGCTGGACCTATCTACACTGCAATCTGGGAGGTGGTCAGGGAGGGTGCTGGAGCACAATTCATGGGGGATACTGTCACCTTAGGGATTGTGCATTTTATACATGGGGACACATAAGCCACCAAATTCTCATCAGAATTTTTCACAATGGGGATACAGCTCTTTTACGGGGGGGTACTGAGGATTGAACCTAGAACTATATCCATGGCCTTTTATTTTTGTTTCTTGTTCTTGTGTTTTTTGAGACAGGGTCTCACTATGTCTTTCAGGCTAGCTTTGGACTTTCTATGTAGGTTATGCTGGCCTCAGAACTCTGGTAATCCTCCTGCCTCCCAAGTGCCAGGATTACAGGCATGGGGCACCATGCCCAGCAGCCCCTTTTTTTAATTTAAAATTTTTTTTTGGTACCAGGGATCAAACTCAGGACCTTGTGCTTGCGAGGCAGGTGGTGGAACCACTGAGCTAAGTGCCCGGCCCTAATTTTAAATTTTAAGACAGGGGCTCAGAAAGTTGCTCAGTTACCCAAGTTGAAACTTGCCATCTTCCTGCCTCAGCCTCCTAAAGTACTGGGATGACAAGCCTGTCCCTGACACCTGAGGTCCAGACTGGCAAAGCAGCAGCGTGAAGTCACACAGCACTGTTGTGGGGTTCCCTCTGCCCACCCACACCCTCACTGTGCCTGACCTTCCAAGGCCTCTAGGGCACTGGCCATGCCGGCAGCAAACTGCGCTGCGTCCTCCTTGCTGCCAAAGTTGAGGCCCCAGACCTGGCGGGCATCTCGCCACTGATGGAAGTTGGGGGTGGCCTGGTTGTACTTGACACCCCGGACGATGGCACAGTTGATGACCACCTGGCAGGAAGGGGAAAGGTGGGTGAGAGCTCAGGGTGCAGGGTGGAGGCTCAGCCCACAGAAGGCGAAGGGACAGATGGAAGAGCACCTGCTGATCCGGCTGCATCTTCCGGCCCACGACCCGGAAGGAATTGGCTGTGGGATTGTGGTAGATCTGGACGCGGCTGAAGGCCTGGGGACCCGTGCCTGCGGGGAGCCATCGCTTGTTGCTGTCATCATAAAGCATCACAGTGGCCCGGCTGGAACAGACAACCGACTCGCTGCAGGGAGGGAGAAAAGGGAAAGGTTTCACATTCCTCATCTGGAGGAGGAAGAGCGAGACAGAGATGAAGACAAGAGAGATGAGGAGTGAGAGAGCTCCTCCAGGACAGACAGCAGGAGGAGAGACAGACAGACAAGGGAACCAGAGAACGACAGATCAGTTGAGGGATGGAGGGAGAGACCCAGTTGGGGCGGCGGGGGGGGGCGGGGGCAGACGGAAAAGCGATGGGGGAGGGGCAGAAGAAACAGATGGGGAGGAACAGGTGAGGGAAGATGGAACAAGGGAGGGACACACACACACAGACAGACAGCACACAGGAGACAGAGATAAAGATGGAGACACAGACAGCTGGAGAAAGACAAGTGGAAGAGAGACCCAGACAGACGGACTGGGAGAGGCAGCAGGTGAGAGCTTTGGGTTGCAGGCTGAGCCCTGAGTGGGCCCAGGGACCAGAGTCCCCAGACAGCCACCGCAGCATGCTAGACACCGCCCCCTATACGGGAAGCTGAGGTTCAGACTAGCAGGTTGAAGTCTGCCCCAAGTGGAGGACCCACCACAGACCATGCTCTCCCCCAAGTGCACCCTGCTGGCCGCCCCATCCGTCAGCTCCCAGGGCACCAACAGCCATGGCTACTGGTCAGACATCCCAGGCCAGGCCACATTAGATGGGGCTGCGGACAACAGGGCAGTGGGGTGGACAGCCCCAGCCAGCCAGCCTTGGTGCTACTGTCCTGGGATCTGGTACTACCCTCCCATATAGCCTGAGAGGCGGGGAGTCAGAGGAGCAGGGCAAGGGGCCAGCCAGCACTTCCTGGAGGGGACAGCAGCTGCCTCAGCCTCTAGGGAAAGGTCAGCTCAGAGGTGGGATCTGACATCACCGGTCTGGGTCCCCCATGTAACCCAGGCAAGTGACTCTCATGCTCTGAACTCATCTTCTTGCCTGCAAACAGGGAATGATGGTCCCCACCTCCCAAGGAAGTAGGTGAGAGTAAATGAACCCAGGCACTTAGGGTGCTTGGCACAGCGCCTGGCACTGCTGAGCTCTCAGTCACAGCCGTCTGGGGAGGTACTGGGCAGGCGGGACAGCTACGCCCCACAAGACTCCTCCCCTCCTTCAGGAGGTTCAATCCCCCTCCCCCAATGAGGAAATTGGGCTCCCAGAAGGGAAGTGACTTGGCCAAGGTCACACACAGACAGGGGAAGTGGGGGAAGCATGGGTCTCTGCCCTGCCCCGGCCCCTCTGGGCTTTTCCTGAAAAGAAGAAGTTGAGGGGTCAGAGGTTTCCGGGGAGAGAAATTACACTCAATGGGCCTTGTCTCCAGTGGGCTGTGAGAGTCGGGGTAGGGGAAAGGCCCTCGGAGGCCCGGCCGTGGGTGCCGGTGCCCCCTGGAACTGAGCCTGCCCCCATCCTTACATAGCTGTGGCACCTGGTTCCCCTCAGCCACTCCAGCTGGGCAGGGACCCTGACCCCTCCTGGAGCCACTCACTTCGTTCCCACTGCAACCCTTCGAGATGGACCATTTTTAAAGCTCCTTTTGCAAGTGGGGACTGCAACAGAGGCCCAGAGATGCGGAGGGACTTGTCCACTGTCACAGCTCCTGGGTGGCAGAGGGAGGATTTGAATGCAGGCTACCTGGTTCCCATGTCCAGTCCTAACCACAGGGACTTTGTGGGCCCTACCCAAACACCAGGTGCCATTTCCAGACAAGCGCAGCCTCAGGGGCTGTTTCTGGCTCCTGCGCCCCTGGCAGGCAGGGCCAGGACCTCGCCCACACCTGCCACCCACACCCAGACTCTGGACAGAAGCCCAGCACTGTCACTGCTTGCCCGCCCGGCTGCACTTTGTCCTCCCAGGTGGCCCTGCCCTTTGCCGGCCCTGGCCTGCTAAGTGACCGGGGCTGCCCCTGCCCTTGTTCAGGTCACATAGCAGGAAGCCCTCTCTGCCCACCTGTGTGGGAAAGCTCTGGTCCCCTCATCCCTGATCCCTGCCTGACAATCTCTCTGTCTCCCTGAGCACAAGTCAGGCCCTCAGGGCGGGGCTTTTGTCCTTTTGTTCAGTGATGGGTCCCCAGAACATAGAATAGTGCCCAGCACATAGTAGGTACTCTATGGTTATTTAATAAACACAGCTATAAAATGCACCAACTTGATCATAGCTGACGCTGATGGGCTAGCTTGCGTCCCAGACACTGTTCCACGCACTGTGCTCCAATTTCCACCCTGTGTGGCTCTCCAGCCTCCTCAGATAGACTCTGATTCTTACCCTTTCGACAGACTCGGAAAAACAGGCAGAGTGGTGAAGACACTTGCCACAGGTCACACAGGCCAAGTAAGCAGAGAGGCTCCTATTTGAACCCAAGTCCTCCCAAGTTCCTAACCTCATTTAAAGATGAGAAAACAGCTAAGTTGAAATTTAAAGGGAAGGTACAAAGTGGTGTGGCTCAGAGGTTTAAAAAAAAAAGTGAGGAGGATATAAATAAATGTGCATGCTCAGTAGTACACCCAGAGGTTTCTCAGGAGACCAACTGCAGGGGCCCCTGAGGACAACTGGGGCCTGGGACGGGAGGAAACAGACATTTTACACCCTTTAGCCTTTTCCACTATTTTGTTATTTCTTATCTTCCTTTTTACTGTTTATCATAGGCTGGAATTACCTGTAAAAATCTAAGTCACTATTTAAATTAAAAAAATAAATCTATGAACCAGGCAAAAGCTGGAACATGTGGAAAATCCCAGGCGGTGAGACTGGTACCTGTGGTTTCTGGGGGCCTCACCCCTCCCAATATCCCAGCCCGCCAGGGACCCCCCTCTCCACCAAGTCACCTCCTTGCTGTGTGGCTTTACCTCTCTGAGCTTCAGTTTCGAGCCCTGGAAACTGGGTTTGTTCTAAGGATGAAAAAGTGGTCATGGATACAAAGCTCTAAACTCAGGAACTGGAAACTGGCATTTATTCCACCTGTGAGAGCTGAGAGTCAAAACATAAGAGAAGGAGCTTCCCAACACTGGGGTTAACCAAGCACAGCAACCCCAGGTTACGTAAACCTCCACACCAGTGTTGCTCTTCCCTTCACTGAGCACGCCCCAAGACTACCCTGTAACCTCCTTACATCACAAAACTTGTGATACGCACACACACAACCTTCCTAAACTATAAATCTTTTGATCAACCCTGGATAGGGAACTAGTTCAGAGTCTGTGGGACTTGTGTGGTTTCCCTGAAGTCCCTCCTTCCAGGCAGGCCTCAGCTACCCATTAAAAAGCTCTAGCTTGGGTCTCTTTTTGCTTACCTAAGTTACCTCAAGCCCTCCTCCCCGGATAAAACCATGTTACTTGTACTTTAAAAAACAAAACGAAACACTTAAGGTTTTCTTTTTCTTCAATAGCATAGTAGTTGGAGATAGTCCTAGGTTCAAATTCAACCTTGGACACTTTTAAACTGTTTGATTTTAACCGACAATTTGCTTAACTGCCCCATGCCTCAGTTTCCCCATCTGTTACAGTATTGTCCTTAGAATGGTGGGGATTCAGCTAACTCAGAAACCTAGCACAGTGTATGGGACAAAGTAGATATCTGACCACATAGTCTTATCTTTGAAGAAAAGATAAGAACAAGAATTTCTACTACTACTGTCAGAAGAAAGACATGAAAAGGACCCAAATTCTTCCTAAGTCTTTTCTGCCTTCCAGTCTCTGACCTCTGCCCCTCTTCTGTGTCTTCCCAGAAGCCTAGCTCCCGGACACAGCAAACACTCAACAAATATTTGTCAAACTGGGAGAAAAAGAACTATATCTTGTAATTTTCCATCTAACATCCTCTCTTCCAACTTCCTCCAGGTCGGTCTCAGCCAAACTGGCCAGAAACAGGCAATCCCAGCTTTTCCCCTCTTCTAAAATTGCCTAAGAATTTCTTAGAGATCTTGCCCCAGGGTTTCTTCTCTTTGAACCTCAGTTTCCCCAGTTGGGAATATAGGAGGAGGGGTCATTTTAAATTCCAGCTATCCTTGGAAAAGGCTCAAAGACCAGAAACTTCCTTGTGACCACCGTGACCACTACTAAGGAAGACCAGCCCTTAGGAGGTGGGAGTAACCCTCTGGCTCTGGTGGGACAGGCATCCCCCCAGGAGTAGAGGCTTTGCCTGGCCAAAAGAGGGGGCCCTGTGGAGGGCCGGGCCGCCGGCTGGGGGTGGGGACAGGAGGCTGGCCCAGACACTGCTCCTGCCCTTTTACGGTCTCGCAGTGAGTGAGGCAGCACTAACTCGGACATCCGCCATCCGCCTTCCACCGGGCTTGGGACCGGAAACGGGAGGGGGCGGGGCGGGGCTGGGGGGCGGTGGAAGAGAGGAGTCCCCCAGGAAGAGGGTGAAGGAGGACTAGGCTCCTGCAAACCGTCCCTGATCCGGGGACGGGAACGTCACTCCTGAGGAAAGGGTGGGCAGGAAGTCTTGAGGGTGCCTGTGGTGTCCCCTGGCTCCGGATCTTCCAATAATTCTTGTCACACCACAACCTCTCTGATTCCTAAAAAGGAATGTCAAAGGGCAGGACTGTGGCGTATGTGGGGGGAGCAGAGGGTGTGAGCACCAGGGGTTAATACCAGCGGTCCCCAGGGGCCTCCTCCTCAGGCCGGGGCTTGGGCCAGGAAGTCCCAGAGAGAGTGGAGGAAGGGAGATAGTATTGTCGGGCTCTAGACCCAAGGGAGCGATTACAGGGGGTCAGGAGAGGGAAGACTGGGGTTGGGGGTCCACCCAGCACTGGCCCTCCCCCCAGGTGAGCCCAAGAGTTTGGAGGAGGCCGAGTTAAGACAAAAATCCATGGGTCCCTTGGGCGCTTTACCCCCAGGATTAAATTTCTGGAAAGATAGAAGGAATTGTCTGGTGAGCTTGGGTCCCGGGGAAGAAAGCTATGACCTTGAAGCTCTCCGGTGCCCCCTCCTCCAATCCCACGGTTCCGGAAGGCGGGGGGGGGGGGGG